ATGTGGTTGGCACCTTAGCCGCTCGAGCCACAGGCGCCGAGCCAATCTGAACAGTTTTTAATGACAGTGACAACCTATTTCTAAAACTCATCTAGAAGCACTCCAAGAAGAGCCAAAATGCCATTGAAGAAGATGAGAGAATGTTTTACCAGCTTTGAAATCTCCTTGCAGAGGGACAGTGACTGAACCATGTAGATTGGTTCAAGGATACCCAATTGCTCAGTGGGAAAGACAAGCTTGGGGACAGACTGCTGCCTCTGTGGACACTTGATTCAAGACTAAGGTGGCACTTCACCGTACCAGAGACAGAGGACAGTCTTTTCGTAAATGGTGTGGAGTCACCAGCGACTTAAGAAACAAACACAAAGAATAGCTTGACCTCATGTTATTTAGCAAATAGCCAGGGCAGAGGGAGAAGCGGGGGAAGAGAGAAGGTTCTAGACCTCACTGCACATGGCAGAAGAATGAAGCTTGTAGAACAGGGTCAACAAATGGTAGCCCACCCAATCCAAGCTCACTGTCTATTTTTGTACAGCCTATAAGCTAAGTGTGGCTTTTATGGTTTTTAAGTGGTTAAAAACAAAAAAAGGCTTGGCGCCCATACCACAGTGGTTACAGCACCAGCCACATACACTGAGGCTGGTGGGTTCGAGCCTGGCCAGGGCCAGCCGAACAACAATGACAATTGCAACAGAAAAGTGGCCAGGCGTTGTGGCAGGCACGTATAGTCTCAGCTACTTGGGAGGCTGAGGCGGGAGAATCACTTAGGCTCAAGAGTTTGAGGTTGCTGTGAGCTGTGATGCCACAGCACTCTACTGAGGGTGACATAGGAAGACTCTGTCTTAAAAAAAAAAATCAAAAGAAGAGCAATGCTTGGTGACATCTGAGACTTACAAGCAACTCAAATTTCAGTGCCTGCAGGTAAAGTTTTATTGGGACACGTCAATGCACATTTCTTCATTCATTGCTTATCACTGTTTTCACGTGACAACTACAGAGTCATGTAGTTGTGACAGAGGATTCATGGTCCATAAAGCCTGAAATATTTGCTACATAGTATCTAGTCCTTTATAGAGAAGGTTTGCTAACTGCTTTTCTGAAAGACAGCAGAGTAAGTTCAATACCTCAGATGGGATGTCTTAAAAGGCTAACTTTATGTAAAGAAGACAACTGATTAGCTAGATTACATTTAAAAACCAAAGGTCACCACTTAAAGAGGGAAAAGGGAAACCACAGCACAGGAGGCATCTCACCGACACCACCAGAAAATATGCAAATCACAACAGTGTTCAAAATCAGGATAGCGGGTCTTGGTGTGTGTGGGGGGGGTGGGGGTGGGGGGAGTGGGCAATGAAATAGAAGGGGCTCAGAAGGAGGGGGGTGGGGGAGAGATGGCAACGTTCTGTTTCTTGACCCAGGTGGTGATTACACTGGTGTTTGATTTGTGATAACTCAGTGAGATACACAGAGCGAGTTTGCAAAACAGAGAGACACCATACATGTGTATATATATATATATATATATACACATGTTTTGTGAACTTTGCATGTTATATCTCTCAATTAGTGAGTTTTCCAAATATGCATTGTACCTAAAGATTCAAGGAAGAAGAAAACCTTGGTGAGTAGCAAGACCTAGCCAGGCCACAGTGGATGTTGCTGTCTAGTTTCTGTCAAGACCAGGGTTAACCCAGTAGCAACCCAGCCAGGCACTGTGCACACACCTGCTGGTGTAGCCTGTGACGGGATTCCAGCGCTGGTTCTCGTAGATGTACACGCACTTCATGTCTGACTGGGTGTAGATGTTACTGGTGCTGCTGGCCAGGCCTGCAAGAGGAAGCTGCTGGGACTAGGGTGGTACCACCTGCTTGGGATGCCAGCCATCTGTCTGAGCACTCATTCCCACAGAAAACAAGCAGGGAGGGCAGGCTGGAGGCAGGTCGGTGGAAAGGGGCAAGCAGGCCTGTTGAGTTTATGTCACTGGGAGCTGGCTTGCCTTGGGTTTCTCTCCTCTGTGCTTGAGATTATTCTGGGGTTGTTCAACTCCATAAGAACCTACTGTGCATCCCTGCCACTCCCACTACAGCCCCCGCCATGTTCTGCTCCTGGTCACACCTCTTTTTCCTTACCATCCTACTTATTCACTAGGAAAGTGTGCTGGCCACCAAGCTTACTCCTTGTTAGCAAAGGTACCTAACATTAACTTTACCTCTATGAGCCCCAATTTCCTGGGGCTCATGAAGACAAAATTCCTGCCTCACAAACAGGAAAGTTGGTTAAGTCTGCTCAGATGTACGCTCCTGTGGTTTCAGTAGACCAAAGTTCTAGAGGGTTAGCTGCTCTCCATTGGGGGGCATGTGGGCTGTGGCTTGGAACATCCCTTTTTGGTGTTTCTGCTTCCATTCTCCAGTAGGAAACACAAGGACTCTGCCTCCCCAAAGTTGGGAAGCCCACAGGGGCTCAGCAAGCTCTGACTCTGAAGGAACATTTCTCCTAACAAGGGACAGAGTTTTAGACTAAGAATCAGGGAACTGGGGACCAGGGGCTGCTCCAATGCCTTGAAGCCTCACAAACAAAGGGCTTGCCATGCTGGCCAGCACTGGCAGCTGCCTTTCTAGAATCCTCAAGGCCCTTGGCGCAGTGAGTGGGTGTCCAACGGGGCGTGGAAAGTGAGACCTGGTCTCGGCACTCAAGCCTCATGGGTCAGCCCAGGTCAACCTGGCCTATGTGGAGGCTGGCAGTGGTGAAGGTCACCTGTCGGCCAGCTGTTACTGGAGTGTGAGCACTGGGACAGCAGCTTAGCATTGGGCAGGGAAGCCAGACGGGGACTGGGAAGGGAGTGTCCTTACCTTGGAAGCAGCCTCCACCGTAGCCACCCGTGTATACCCAAGCTGTGTGGTCGTAACCAAGGCCCCACACTACACCACGGCTGTTGGCCTCCACCATGCGCAGGTGGCCTCCCATCTGCCGCCAGAACCTAGTAGGATGAGAGAGTACAGCAGGAACCTCTCAGCCTCAGCTTCCCAACCTTCCACTCACAGATATGGTGTTTAAAAAACCCTCAGTCTCCAAGCAAATAGGATCTTAAGCCTGTGTGGCTTCCCCTTTTGTATGCATTGATGCTAAACAGCTAGCATGTAAGCAGTCCCCAAGGGCAGGGGGCCTCAGAAACCAGTCCACCCTGCCCCTGAAGCTACATGGATGGGCGTGAGGCCAGCAGCTGTTACACACCACCCCTTTGGGTCAGGGACAGGTGCAGCCAGCCTTGAATGTCACGGCAGAAAGCAGGATGTGGTGTCTAATCATCTGCATGAGTGACAGTGTGGCCAGCAGCCGCCAGTGTATCAGCAAGAGAATGTACTGTGACAGCGCGGCCTCCCAGACGGGCAGAGTGCAGCTGGCAGTGGGTCAGCCCCCTCTGGCCAAGGCCCTGTCTCTGTCACCAGAGGTGGTCTGACTCACTTGACTGGGTGTCAGTAGCACCTCCTGTTGCCAGGGCTTCCTGGGCTCACTTATGTCCCTGGTCCTGGTGTCACTGACAACTAGCCCAGGGCCTTAGCAGCTCTACGTGACCTGCTGGGCAGTCCCTCTGTCTAGGCTTGGGACAGAATCGTGAGCACCAGTGTCCCCTGCTAGGCCCTCCTCCTTAGGACTCTGTTCACACTATTCCCCCAGGTGACCACATTCCCTCTGTAGCTTTCGACACTCTGACAGTAATGTTTTGTACACGTCTTCCAGTCCTGGCTGCCCACCTCCTGGTCCTTTGGGTTCCTCCTCCACCACACCCTCCTCTTGTCCTCCTAGCCACAAGCTCTAAGCCCTCTCTCCTGCCCCACACTCAGTGGACCTCAAACTTCACCAACTCTGTGCAGAAAACACCCCCCCAGCCCACTTTCCCTTGGCCCAAAGCTACTCTCTCCCTTCTGCCTCAGGCCCTGTCCCTGGCCTGCAGCAGGGCCTCAGCAAGAGTCGGAAGCAGCAGAGCACCAGGTCTGTCCCCTGGGCAGGTACATGGACGTGCCTTCTCTGCCCTGGCCTGGAGCCCCAGGGGTGGGGAGCTGAGCTGGATCATCTGCTCTCCACAAGCCTCCTGACACTCAGCAGCTGTTGGCAGTGCTGACCCATTCTCAGCCCAACCAGCCTACTCGATCCCACGGGGACTCTGGGCCTGGGAACCAGCAGCTGTGCCTCTGGCCCAGGGTGAGCTCCAGTCCTTGGTGGGCTCCCTTCTAGAACCACAAATGCTGGATGCTGGGGCAGGGGGTGTATCAGGACCTGTCTGAACATGGACTACTCACATCTGGTCGCAGGGCAACAGGTGCTCCTGGGCCTCCAGGTCCTCACTGGGCTCACTCACGAAGATGTCCCCATTGCAGGTGACAGACCAGATGGCCTGTGGTGAGGGGCGGCCATGGACCTTCCGGCTCTCACAGCAGGATAGGCTGAGCAGGGCAAGCTGCCATAATACACTGCTGGTCAACGCTGGGCAGGTTGGGCCACCTGGAGACTGCTATCCCTCAACCCTGGCCCGCAGGGACCACCCCTACTCACCCAGTCATTCATGTCCTGGTTGGTGGCAGCAGTCAGACGCACAGGCCACCTCTGCCGAGTTCTCTCAGGGGTATACAGGGCAAAGGAGTGCTTGCCCTCACTGAGCACGGGCACCAACACTGTCACCTCGTTGAGGAACACGTGAATGTACTGTTCAGAGAGTGGGCACACGGGCAGGGCTGTCATCCAGGGCAGAGCAGGCCTCAGGGAAGCGAGCTCCCCACTGCTGGGGACAGACATGGATGGGCCACCATGATTCTATGGTGCTCGGCCTGGGACCTTGGCCTGCAGGTCTCAGTGGTAGACTACGAGGCCAAGCAGGTTCTAGCATCAAAGCCAAACTTTGGGAACAGATGCCTTTGCTTAAAGAGATGGTGTTAAGAAGGTATTGTTTTATATTATTGTTATGTTTAAGGATAGAATCTCTCTCTGTTGCTCAGGCTATAGTGCGCTGGCATGATCACAGTGCACTATAATCTCAAACCTCCTGAGCTTGAGTAATTCTCCTGCCTCAGCCTGACCTAAGAAACGCTGTTCTTCCTGGGTGAGGTGGGTCATGCCTGTAATCCTAGCACTCTGGGAGGCCAAGGCAGGTGGATTACCTGAGTTCAGGAGTTTTAGACCAGTCTGAACAAGAGTAAGACCTGTTTCTTAAAAAAAAAAAAAATAGCCAGGCATTGTGGCAGGCGCCTGCAGTTCCAGCTACTTAGGAGGCTGAGCCCAAGAGTTAAAGGTTGCTGTGAGCTATGACGCCATAGTACTCAACCCCAGGGCGACTGAGTGACACTGTCTCAAAGAAAAAAAATGCTGTTCTTTTTCTACTGTTTGTAGAGATGGAGTCTCATTATGTTGCTCAGGGTGGTCTAGATCTCCTGGGCTCAAGTGATTGTCCTGCTTCAGCCTCCCAAAGTGCTGGGATTGCAGGTGTGAGCCACTGTGCCTGGCCAAGAAATGCTTTTCAATGTTGATTGCCTGGCACGTGCTGGCAATCAGGAGGAGTGAAAGACAATCTTCCCAAGCCCGATTTCTCATCTGAAACATGAGAGCCTGTAAGTCCTATAAGTGGCTGTCAGAGGCACAGGAGATGGCTCTGTGAGGCCTAGGACAGCCCAGCACACACCTGCCCACCACTGGTTCGGGCCTGAGAGTGAGCACTCTGTAAATCTGAGATGTGGATCCCAGACTGAGCACCTTGGATCCCAGACTGAACACAATACTGTGTTTAATACCCATTCCTTTCCCCCCAGCTTTGTGTCCCCTCTTCTAGGAAGGAATCCCTCCCCTTGGGGCCACCTCTCCCTGGGTACCCTCAGCCCTGCAACCCTCCCCCTTGGACGCTTTCCCCAGTAGGGACCCCCCCGCTTGCTGTACCTTCTTTTCCCCGTGGACCACATAGTAGATGAACAAGATGCTGTCCCGCGTGCCATCGTGTCCTGTGAACTGCTCCAGGGCCACACGGACATCTACCCACTTGTGGGGCTTCCAGTCACACCACCACTGCAGGGTCCCAGTCTTCACCCATACAGACTGGGCACATACCCCAGGGAAGGGGGACAGTCACAGGCAGGCTCCTGACCCCACAGACCCTGACACCCCATTCTTGACATCCCCGACATACCATAGTACCCCCTCCTTGGTTCCTTAGGTGGTGCCTCCACCCTCCAGCTCCACCTTATGCTAATGACAACACTGACACCATCAGACACCTGACAGGTGCTGGCTCTGAGCATCATATAGGCCAGCGGTTCTCAATCTGTGGGTCACGACCCACAGGAATCGTATAAGAGCCGCGGCATTAGGAAGGTTGAGAACCACTGACATAGGCAGTGGGATTGGCACTGCTACTGGCTGGGGAAACTGAGGCTTGTGGAAGTTCTACCTATGTCTGGGCCAGTGTCACAGAGTGAGTCAGCAGCAAAGTTAGCACCCAACCATGGGCCCGCCTGTGTCCAGAGGCCCAGCTCAGCCACCAGACAGACGCTTCTGCCAAGCCTAGGCCAGATCCCCTGAATGAGGCTAGTCAAATGCTCCAGGTGGGTCTCCGAGGGCTGAGCACAGGCAGGGTCAGCCCTGGGGAGGGGTCTAAGGCCATTTTCATCCCCATGATGACTCATTTCAATAAGACACTGCCTATCTGGGTGCCTTGGATTTTGCTGCCACCTCAGGAACCCCAGGGCCTACACCCCACCTGGAATGCAGTGAGGCAGGTCTTTAGGATAAAAGAATAAGCAAACGAACTCATTTCTTTATCCTCAAATCTGCCACAGGACCCAGGAGGGATAGACAGAGGGATGGGGCACACTTCTGTTTCTTTCACCCCACCTATGGGCTGGTATATAGCAGGCACTCAGTGCCTGCCTATTGCAAAAAAAGCACCCAGGAACATTGAAGTGCCCACCTGCTCCACAGCCTGCTCGTAGTGTCGGAAGTTCTCCAGCTCTCGCTTGGTCCTTTCTGTGAGCTGCTGGAAGATCTGCTTCCTCCAGGCGGCAGTCTGGGCCGGCATGATGGACAGAGATAGTGTCTGCACCAAGGGGGACAGGCCTGTGGGCCAGCCAGAGCCTCAGGCAGGAGGCCAGGACTCTTATTTCCCCCTAAATCAGCCATTTTCTGCTACAAAGCTACAATCTTTGCAAAATGCTCCACGAGCCTCTCCCCACCCTTCATTCTGATGGGCAAGTGCTATTAGCCTAGAAAACAGTCACCACTGCTAGGACAAGGGGCAGAGCTGCTGAGCAGAGTGGGTGTTCAGGCAGGACAGCAGACCTGCCCAAGCCCCCAGGCCTCCTCTTTTGCCCCACACACCCCAGAAACATCCTCTGGGACACCTGGCCCTGCTGATGCCTGTGTGCTGTGCAGGAAACCTTACCTGACTGGACAGTGAACCACTTGGGCATGGAGCAGGCCTCCACTGTGCAGCCACCTCCTGATACCCAGGCCCACAGTGGGTGGTCATCTGCCCCATAGGGCTCCTCCAAACCCAGCTGGTGGTGCCCCAAGGAGGACAGGCCAGTAGTCTCAGGGAAGCCAGCAGTCAAGTGGTTGGGTACTTTCTTGGGCTCCTTCAGGTCAATATTGGTCCAGGGCAGCTCTGCTGGGGTGGATGCCAGGCCTGGGCCACACGTGCTGGGGCAGGCATTCTCTGTGGCATCCTCTGTAGTCCTGCTAGCCCCTGGGCCTGAGGCCAAGCTCTCCTTGAGGTTCCTGGGATTTTCCAAAGATTCCACAGGGAGAGGCTGTCCAGGCCCTGGTCTCTCGACTTCTGAGGAGGCATCAGTGTCGCTAGGTGCAGACTCGCCACTGCCCCTTACCTCGTCGCCAAAGAAACAGCCAGCACTGGGGATAAAACAGGGTAGACCTATCACTCCCCTGCAGGGGCATACGCACTGCTGTCCAGACAGGCCTGGCTCTAGTTTGTTGCATTGTGACTGCCCACTTGACCATGAGCAAGTCCTGACCTCTCTGAGTGCATGTCTCCTCCTCTGTGCAACACACAGAGGTGTGTTGGGTAACTGCTTCCCAGGGAGCAGGACATTCAGGCACCCCTCAGACCAATCCCATCAATATATCTGGGGATTGAGATCCAGAATTAGGATTTATTTTTTATTGGGTTAAAATACACATGACATAAAGGTTATCATTTTAACTATGTCAAAGCACACAAGTCAGAGCATTTAGTAAATTCACAATGTTGTGCAAACATCACCACTACCTAGTCCAGAACTTTCCATCACCCCAAATGGAAATCCCACACCCATGAAGCAGTCACTCCTCATTGCCCTCCCCACTACCCCCAAATCCCCAGGCAAACACTAAATTATCTCTGTCTCTATAGAGGTGCCTAGTCTGGACATTTTATATAATAGAATTGTGGAATCAATGTGTACCCTCTTGTGTCTGACTTCTCTCATTAATTATTTTCAAGGTTATCCACGTGTCAGTACCTCCTTCCTTTTTATGGCTGAATAATATGCCATTGTATGGTGAGACCACATTTTGTTTACCTACTAATGGACATTTGGGTTATTTCTATCTTTTGGCTTTTGTGATCAGTGCTGCCATAAACATTCAGGCACAAGTTTGAACCTGCCACCTCCAGCATATGGGATCGGTGCCCTACCCTTTTGAGCCACAGGCCCCACTCCTCAGGTACAAGTTTTTACCTGAACACCTCTTTTCAATTCTTTGGGGTACCTATCTACGAGTGGACAGCTGAGTCATAAGGTAATTCTATGATTAGCCTCTTGGGGAATGGCCAGGCTCTTCTCCACAGTGGCTGCACCATTTTACATTCCCACCAGCAATGCGCAAGGGTTCTAATTTCTACAGATCCTCATTAGCATCTGTTATTGTCTCTCCTTTTAATTACCACCATTCTGGTGGGCAGGAAGTGGTATTTTACTGAGGTTTTGATTTGCATTTCCCTAATTCAAATGGGATCTAAATGTAACTAATGATCAGGGACTGTGTATCTTCTTTGGAGAAATGTCTATGCAAGTTCTTTGCTCTTTTTTAATTGGGTGGTTTGTCCTTATCGTTGAGTTGTAAGACTTCTTTATGTAGTCTAGACTCTTTTTACTCTCTCAGTAGTATTCTTTGATTCTGAAACATTAATTTTGATGAAGTCCAATTTGTTATTTCCTTTTGTTGCCTGTGCTTTTGGTGTCATGCCCAATAGCCACTGCCAAACCCAAGGTCACAAAGATTTGACATCACTTTTTTTGAGCCTGCTTAGCTGATTCCAATGTGCTATCCAGTTTAAGAACTACCAGCTGAGGAGACTAAAGCTTCAGATGAATCATGAGCAAACTCCTTTCCCAGAGCCTCCCTGGCCCTCTGGGCTAGCAGTCACCACTGGGTGGTGACTGGGTAGGGTGATGACTACCAAGCATGGGGGGCAAATAGGTCCAGGGCATAGGAGGGTTGAGCTGTGGAGACAGGGTCCCATGTGCTGTCTCAAATGTCACAACTGTAGACATTTTCACTGTAGAGTTGAGGTGTCCCCAGCTCAGATACCAAGTCACCTGTCTGCATTCTCATGGCCGGTGGGCAGAGCTGGGGCTCATTCATGCTCTTTATACATACACACATATACATATATGTATTTTTCTGAGACAGAGTCTCACTCTGTCACCCCAGATAGAGTGCCGTGGCATCATACTCACAGTAACCTCAAACTCTTAGGCTGAAAGGATCTTCTTGCCTCAGCCTCCCAAGTAGCTGGGACTATAGGTGCTTGTCACAACACCTGGCTAGTTTTTCTATTTTAGTAGAGATGGGGTCTTGCTCTTGCTCAAGTTGGTCTCAAACTCCTGAGCTCAAGGGATCAATCCTCCTTGGCCTCCCAAAATGCTAGAATTACAAGCGTGAGCCACCATGCCCAGCTTTCATCCATGCTCTTTAGACCCATAGATCCCAAGGTGAGGTTTCCAGGACTGCAACAGCGGCAGCATCACCTGGGACATTATAGAAATGCAAAACCTCAAACAGAAACTCTGGGCTGGGCCTGGAAATCTGTGTCTGAAGGAGTCCTCCAGGCAACTGTGGTGCGCGTCAAGCCTGAGACCACTGCTCTAGATGAGAGACCTTCTGTCTTATCCCAGCTTCCCTTTCAGAGGGGCCTTATCGTCTACCACATAAACAACCCTTTTCTCTCCCAGATCTTCAGAACCAAAAGACCAGCCCTGCTCAGTGGCTCCCAGCTCTTCCAGGATATCCGGCCTTAGCTTGCCCCCAATTATAGCCCAGAGCATCTGTCAACACCTCCATGCTGCTGCCCCAGCTACAGTACCTCTTCTCTGGGGCCAAAGTGGTTGAGCAGCACACCAAGCACAAATAAGAGGGCAGGAGGGCTACAGCCCTTGTGGCTCTTGTGGGCTGGAGACTGATATTCTCCTGCCTGGTGATAAGGCCCATCACCCCACCAAGGCCAGGTGACAGCCCCCTCTGGATGCTGCCCTCCAAGGCCACTGACAGTCCATCCCTAGACCAACTCCTCCATGCCCTGCCACCTGGGATCACCTGAGGAGACTTGATGAGCTGCCAGAGTATGACCGGTCACACTCTCGGGCTGCAACGATGGCCTTCCATGTCTTTCCACTGAGCTCACTGGGAGTGACACCCTGCCGGAAGTATATGGCTCGGTCCTCACAGCTAATGCCCCAGACCTGGAACAGAAAGGAGCACGGCTCAGAGGCTGGGTGCAGGCCTATGTGTTCCACTTGCTACTGTGAGTGTGAGGGCAGGACAGGGACCAGAAGAGTGTGCTGCAGAGATGGCGGACATGTCTGCAGTCATAGGCAGTGTAAGTATGTGGTAGGCAGTGTAAGTATGTGGGGAGGTCCACCTGCACAAGAAGTGGGGGGCCACGTCAGCGAGCTCAGAAGAAGTAGGGAACTGGTTCTGGCTCCCTGACCCAGGCCGACTTGGGACCCTGGAGAGATAAGATCCAGAAGAGGTGGTGTGGCTGGTGGACTCTGTGCCAGGACATGGGGTCCACTCATGTATCTGTTTTCTGTGTGGTCTCTGTTGGGAAACTGATCTCCAAGTGAACCCCAAAGATGGTCTTGCTCTTTTTTAAGATACAAAATAGCCTCCCTTATTCTGAGCTCACTTCTCTTGGCATCCTAGCCTCTGTCTTTGGGCGCTGAAGAAGGAAGGTTTGATCTGGGGCCAATGTGGTCTTGTTGAGTGAACTATGGTGTCTCTGTCACTTTGCCAACACAGGCTAAGCTGTCATGGCCTCAGGCTCAGCCCCCCAGGTACCACCAAGCACCTATCTTGCACCAGCGACTGTGTGCTCTGTCACCAGGGTGACTAGCAGGATGACATGGTAGCCAAAAGAAGGCTGGTACCCTGGAAGGAGCTTCTAGTGCAATGCAACAGGGTGGTGTTGTTGCCCTCACAGCAAGGGGCTGCACCCCCTGAGTCTTTTTTTTTTTTTTTTTT